TGCCTCCATTGCAGCCCCTATGCGAAATGAATGCGTACCGAATTGCATGGGCTGGAGGGCCAGCTTTTGTAGCCCCATCCGAAATACCCGGATAAATTGAAAACGCGACAGTGCCGAGCCATCCTTATGAACTAAAAAACATCCTGCCATATCCGGGCATATGCTTAGGAACTTGATCCCGCCCGCCACTGGGCAGACATCTGACACTGGCAATGAGAACAGGACTATCTTCTTACCTCTCCCAAAAACGTCTGTCTTGGAGCGTCTCAGTTGAATCTCGACCCTATCCTGCCCCACCACCACGTCCTCGAGCTGAAGCCCATTCTTTCCTGATTTGTTTTCGCTGACCAACTCACTGATACAAAACGCCCCGAAAAAGGCCCAGACAAACGCTACGGAAAACAAAACCACTTCAAATGATGATGTGCACATATCACTCAACACTCCCACGAGCCCTTGCAGGACGGTAAACGACACCGGCCTCCTTGTGTCCATGGTCTTCCTCCCCTTCCGGAAGCCTCGCAAGGCCTGTTTCACCACAAAAGTCTTGGTAAGATCTTCCCAACCATTAAGTTTGAACCAAAAAGCTAAAGCCGCCATATGACGCTCCACCTTAGAGGGAGAGGCCCCACCCGCTAGTAACCGGCACAACCACCATAATAGCGTGTCCAACCTACCTGCCGCGGAGTCGCCCACTCCCGTCTGCCCTACCGTCTCCTCCCAGTCGGTCCAAACTTTGGTGTATGCCGCCCACGTGCCTGGCGCCAATGAACTCCTTATCAAGCCCCCAAGCACGATGTCCCGAGCAGCCATATGTCCTCCGGGCACGCCTGTCCTGTTTCCTGTGCGCTCGGTGCTGCCTCCCGAAAACGCTCCCACTGTGAACGAGACAGTGCGTCAGCTACAACGTTCAACAAGCCCTGCACATGCCTAGCCCTAAAAACGATATTCCATGACATACAAAGGAGAACTAGATGTCTCAATAACCGAATCACGGGTAGCGACGAGGCGGAATTACTATTAATCGCCTGGACCACTGCCATATTATCGGAGTGAAAAATCACCTTCCTGTTCGCCAGCTCCCTGCCCCACAATGCCACTGCCACAACCACCGGGAAGAACTCCAAGAATGCCAGGTTCCTGATCAGTGGGCTTTCCTTCCACGACTTCCACTCCTCGGCACACCATTTGCCCCTAAAATACGCCCCAAAACCCACGCTCCCAGAAGCGTCCGTAAATAAACCGATGTCCACCGACGTTGCCGCCGGGTCCCTAAAAAACACCCTACCATTAAACTCTTGTAAAAAATTTATCCACACATCCAAGTCCGCCTTCATATCAGCCGATACCCTAATGAAATGACCCGGTGACCTTACACCGCAGGTAGCCCGAGCTAGTTGCCTACAAAAAAACCCTTCCCATAGGGATCACTTTACATGCGAAGTTCAGGCTCCCCAACAGGGACTGCAGCCCTTGCAAAGTCACCTTCCTTGAACCCCTCACACTCCCTACCCGTTGTCGGAGTGCCAACAATTTATCTGCGGGCAACCGACATTCCCCCTTCGTCGATTTCCAGCCCCAGGAAGCTCAGGCACGTTGTCGGGCCCACCGTCTTATCCCCGGCTAAGGGAATCCCAAATGCTTGTGCAACCCACTGCAAAACCCGTAGTATCTGGCTGCAGCGGTCTGAGTCCGCCGGCCCCACGCACATGAAATCATCCAAGTAGTGCACCACCGCACCCCCGGCCGATTCCTGACGAACCACCCACTCCAAAAACGTGCTGAACTTTTCAAAATACGAACAAGAAATCGAACAGCCCATGGGCAAACATAAATCCACGAAAAAAAACCCTTCGAAGAAACACCCCAACAAGTGGTGACATTCCGGGTGAATGGGGAGCAGTCTTAAAGCCGCTTCCACATCAACCTTTGCCATTAGCGCCCCCGGCCCTGCTTTGCGAACCAACTCAACCGCCAGGTCGAATGATGCATACGAAACAGAGCTCAGGGCTGCGTCAATGTCGTCAATGTCGTCATTACCTTTCGGGTAAGACAAATGATGTATCAAACGAAATTTGCCTGGTTCCCTCTTAGGAACCACCCCGAGAGGGGACACCCTCAAGTCCGGCAGCGGTGGGGCTACATATGGCCCCGCCATCCTTCCCAACTGCACTTCCTTCTGCAACTTTTCCCGAACTACCCCCGGATGCTCCCGCACAGATTTTAGGTTCGCACACAACTTCCCCGGATCGTTCCCCTTAAATGGTGAACCCCTCCGTAAAATTTTCACCGGGGTTACCGCCAGCGGCAATGCCGGAGGCTGGTGCCCTGCCGGCACCCACTCCGGAAGCCGGCTTCCCTCTCTTGAAGCACCGGTTAGCCCCGTGGGCTCCGCCGCAACCAGAACATTCGTGTCTGAATCTGCACGACGTCCCCCATTTGCATTGGCCTTCATTAAAAAGCCAGCAAAACCCCTTCTTTTGCCCGGCCGGTGCTGTTCCTCCAGGTACCGCACCGGCCGCTCCCTGAAAGGGCGCCTTCTGTGCCATCATCAATTTCATCCATAGTGGCAGGTCCATCTGGTCCCACCTCATACTGGGATTCGCTGCCAATTGCTGGCAGAATTGCTCATCGTATTTCCACCACGCTAAACTCCCATATGTTCGGTATGCATCCCCTATCCCGTCCAGATAACAAAAAAGTTGTGAGCAGCGGTCGGGGTATTTCTCCCCGATGACGCTGGCCAAAATACAAAAAGCCCTGTGCCAATTCCCAAACGTTTTAGGGATCTTCCGATACCTACGTTTCTTTTCCTCTTCCTCCTTTTTTGCGTCCTTCTTATCTTCCTCTTTTAAGTCGAGGAACTCCTCTAGGGGGAGAAGGGCAAAAACCTCCACAAACTCTCCTTTCCAAATTTTGTCTTTTACCTCGGTTTTTAGATGACAACCTAAAGGACCCGAAAAGGAAAAGTTTTGCCGTGCCGCATCCGAGATCTCGCCACAAGATTCCGCTCCTTTGCCCGACCCCCCTACCGACCCGCTCATAGTCAGTCCGAGATCGCCAGTCCCTGTCCCCACCACTCTATCTGCTAAACTGGGACCCTTCTCTTGGCCCCACACCCTCGAGAACTGCGGAGACGAAACTTCCCTACTCGCCCATGTGTCTAAAAAGGATTTCAAGCAACTAAATAGTGTTTCTGAGTGTGGTGTACCAGGTAACTTACCGCCCGAACCCCCGGCCGCGACAGGCCACGGGGCCGTCTTCCGTCCGTCCGCCGCGCACGGCTCCGGAGTATCCAATAGACGCCGACTCCATTCAGCCTGATCCCGCCTCGGGACCGTAGGTGTATCGCTCCGCAACCTGTAAGGAAAAGAACACCTGGGTAGTCTTCTCGTGTGTCCAGCTGCCCGCCCTTCCTCCTTACGCTCCAATCTCTCTTCTCTCCACCTCTCCCCGCCTGGCCCTCCTGGCCGCCTGAGTCATGCCGCTGACCCCGTGAACTCCCTTCTGATGACCCTGAGGTGCTGCGCCGGTCCCTCCTTCTACCTTCCCTGCAGCCTGACCTCCTCCTACTGCGCCTGCCACCAGAGGTGCTTCTCTCCCTGGCGCTCCGTGCCCCATCCTGCCTGGCGCCCTCTCCACGCCGATCCCTGTTTTCCTCCTGTCTGGGGCTGCTTCTACCACCGCAGTGCCCCTGGGAGCTGCCTCTGCGGCCCTCCCACCCATGCCTAACCCTGCTGACCTCTGCGCCTTCTGGTGCCGTGTGTAACTGGGCCCCCTGCCGTGACCCCAGCCCACCTTGGGCTGTCCTTTCCGCAGGGGATTCCCAGCGCTGTCCCTGGCATCCAGAGTCCCCCTCCCCTGCAGACCTGGCCTGCCTCTGTTGCCCCATGTGAGTGGGCCCGCCGGCCGCCCCCTGGCTGCTAGGCCCAGCCGCCGTCGTTGTGTCCCTGCTGTTGGGCGCCCCCCCTGCCCCTAAGGGAACAGCCCGCCCATCACTGACAGCCTCAAGCCGCCCGGTTGTCACACCGGCGGCCGACTCACCGGGACGCCTCTGGTCTCCTCCTCTTCCTGTCCGCCTTGCCATGCTCCCGGCCTCCACGGAGGCCACTGGTGTCACCACTGCCCTGCCAGCCGCCTTGCTGCGGGTGGCGCTCCTGGTAGCAGGCCGCACAGCAGTCTTCCTCCCAGCTGCTGCCCGCGCCTGACCGGCACCGCGTCGGACAGATGGTGCCGGCCATGTACTCGCCGCCTCAGCCTGGCCCGCATTCACTGCCAGGGCCCCACTGGCCCCTGCTGATTGGCTCCAGCGCCTCCTCACTTCTGGAGCCATGCCTGGGCTCAGCCGCTGGGGCGGTCTCGCCCTCCTCACAGGACGCCGTTCAGCCGCCGCAGGGGGGTTAACAGCAGCATCAGGAACCCCCAGTTGTTGTTGGAGCCAGGCCATCCCCCTGTCACGAACTGCTGCTCTCACTCCTGCCAGGATTTCATCCAGTGAAGCCATAATCTGAAAAAGAAAGGAGAAGAATCCCCACAGACCTGCCAGAGACAAATTACAAGTAAGTGCAGATTCTGATTAAAATGGCCACTTGCTAAAATGGCTGCTTAATATACTCCTATCTACTCCACCCCTTTTTACACTCATTCCTAATACCCACCCCTAATTCTTTAACTCCACCTGCCTACTCCCTGGCTCTGTCAAGGCCCACTCCCCTGACTGTGCTGTTCCATGGGCTTCAGTGCCCCTTCAGCTTATACCCATTGCGTCTGGGGAGGTAGTCTCAATAGTCAACCAGGATCGATGAAATCACTACACTGGAAGTTGTTTGAAAACATTGCAACCACCACAACATTTAAGAATACTTTTAAAAATGTTGAAATAAGATTGATATTTGAAGGCAATTTGCGCAGGTCCAGGGGCCTAAATAGGGACATTAGAACTATAGTGTCATGTGTCATGTTTGTATTCTAGACACCATAGTGTTCCTTTATCAATCTTAGTTCATTTGTAAGTCTAGATACATTTGTTTTATTTATGCGAAGGAAAGAATGGTAGTAAATGCTGATGTCAGGCACAAGGGAATATAAAGGGGTCTTATTAAAATTCATTAATAAGTGTTATTTTCTTTACTAGAAACACAAAAATTATATTTCAGATTCCAGTTTGCTCTAAAGAGTTTACAATTCATCTTTGTCTGTAAAGTTATCCATTGACGATATGACATGGATTTCATAATTATCATCATCATAGTTATCATCAGAATAAACCCATGCTAAAAACTCAGTAGGTTGGATTATGTGGCCAAATTCCATTTATTTTTAGTGATGTGGACATATCCGGCCAAAGCAGATATGTATCATTCAAATGATACCTTACGTATGTGCACATATTCTGCTGATGTAGAAACATATGTTACTTATGTACATACCCTACAATGTACATGCATACCATGCTGATTTTGACATACTGGGATGACGTAGACACATATACCCTGCTGGTTTACATACATGTACTGATGGTGTACACATACTCTGTAAAGAGTTTAAGTTGATATTCGTATGGCCCGTACATTATTTCAGATTTAGTCAGAATATTTGCTGTATTCTTGTGGCCAAAATAGAACTAAACATTGCAGCATAGACACCAATAGGTTTAGAGCAGGTCTGTTGTCACATGGTCTTATTTGTATTTGCGGAAAGCAGCATCCGTGAAGCAACTGTCTAGAGGTCCAAAAAGACATTATCAGACATGAAGGATGGACCTTATTGGCCTACTGCATGTCTAACTTTTTAATGTTTTGTATAAAAAACTGCTGTTTTTCTTCTTCTAAAGTTAGAGAATGATGACATCTTTAAAATAATGATGTACTATATCGTCAGGGTCTATTAGCTGATCATAAATGTCATTTCGGATTGACATCTTTGAAACTACCAACAAACTCCATCTCACTTCAACCCCATCCAGCCCCTCTGGCTAATTGTAATTGTACAGGGCCTCTGTTCGTATTGATGCTATTATTCTTTCAGCTATAAGCTGTGTGTGTCAGATCTGTTTAAAACTGATTCTAAACTCTTTCTTCCTACAGGGCAATGGGTCAGAAGGACCGTGAAGAGACCTGGAATGGGGCAGAGAAATCAGATGTGTTGTGTACTGCAGTGGACTATACAGAGGACAAGATGGAAGACAGGGGGCAGTGGAGCAACAAAGTGGAGTTTGTACTGTCTGTGGCTGGAGAGATCATCGGGTTAGGAAACGTCTGGAGGTTTCCTTATCTCTGCTACAAAAATGGAGGAGGTGAGTGTGTTTTGTGAATGCGCCATAGGATTTATAGGATTGTAGTTCAGAATGAAGTGGAATGGTACAGAACTGGAGATGTGGAGTGTCTGTATGGGGCTGTTAAGAAGTTTGGATAAACTGTTTAAAACTAATCTTTCACTTTCTCTCCCACAATGAGTATAACACACTCTCTACTGTTAATTTATCCCGTGGAGCTCCAGTGTTATTATTTGGCTTGCCAGTGGTGCTACTGTGAGCGGGCACTAGTTTTGTATGGAGCTCAAGTCTCGGTATTTCATGCACTTCCTTATTACAATTACATTTATTTATATAGCACCAACATAGTCCACAGCGCTGATCCTGGTCATCTACTATGTGGCAACAGACAAATCTTTCCCTAATTACTTTCCAGCTGTGTAAATTAATCCAGAAGCAGGAACATTGCTTGTGGAGATTGAGCAGAGATGGAACCCAAAAGGAGGTTGAGCAGAGATGGAGCCCCAAATGTGGTCCTTTAAAAGCCCTGGTTCTGATTTTGGCAGGCAACATATTATTGTAAGCCTCAAGTCTCTAGTAATATTAAGAGATAAATAACATATCTAATAACATTATTTTCTGACAGTGCAACTTTCTTGATTAGGAAAATGGAGAGAGGAACACATTTGAATGAGAGGTAAATGAACATGGTAGAGAAATATAAAAAGGAGTAGATGGGAATTAGGAAAATACTGCATTAACACACCTATACATACACACTAAAAAGTCACACACGCACACTAAAACTTTATATAAATATGCTCTTGCATGCACACACTGGCATTTTATAAAAACGCACCACTATATTCACACACTAGCAATCTACACAAATACACCTGTCATTCACATGCACTCACAAACACTCTGCACAAATATGATCTTAAGTACACATTGCCATTAAGCCACCCAACCAACCACATACTCCGAACTGATCATATCCCTGATCCACTCATCTCACCTTCTAGTCGTCTCCACTCCCTATTACATTCACACCACCTGGCCACAAAACATTTTATCTACCACACCATCCTAGCACATATTGTCATCCAACCACTCACGTGGTCATAATTACCATCCAATTACATACCCCAAACTAGTCTTATCCATTCAATCACATACACTAGACTAGTTGTATCCATCCTTTCAATCACATACACCAAGCTTCATTGAGGTGCTCAGGGCACATTGAGAAAACTAGTCTTGGGGCAGCAAATAAGGTAAATCCAGCACTTAGGGGACACTAGGCCCTCCCTCAGAGTATTATAATAGCCTTCACCTGCTGACCACATGCATGATCCTCATTTAATTTATGGCATATCCCCACTCTCTAGCCACAGGAGAGGACGAGGAGTGTGTAGTGACACCCCCATTACTTACTGAAATGTCTCACATCCAATGCCAATGGGCCGGAGCACAGGTGGGGACTATGTTTACCCACTGTTATTTCACAGGCTCCATTCCCATGGGAAGGAGCCTTTTATAAAATGTTTGCACCAGCCCTGAAGACAGATAAAAAGGGAGTGTAACCCTCTAAGGCTGGCACAGATATTTAATTTGGATTGAGTAGTGTGAATAAACATATTTTTGCAATTATATATATATATATATATATATATATATATATATGTTTTTTGTTGTAACCACCCAGTTCACATTTGTTTATCAATTTGTTGTAGTCAGGAAGAGACTCACCTGGTGTGGTAGCTGCTAATTTACTATATTCACTAAATAAGAAGTGCCTTTTGCGCAGAGCACTTTTGTTTTTTTTTATATATTTTTTTTAATGAATGTTACCTTGTGTTTGCTGTTGGATAGTATAGCACTCTGTAGAATGCAGTTTAGGCTCAGAGGAAGTCCTAGCATGATGCAAAAACTGTAGTTCCAACCTCTATTCTTTTATTGAAATGAATTCAGTCTAGTAAAGTATACACTTAGGTTCAAAAGAGAACGTTAACAATACTGGCATCTCTTCACATGGTAAAGATTACTGTGTATAGTACACACTTCTTTATCTGTATGCAGTGTAGTAGATGGGTTTTCTGGCCATTTTGGAAACATAAATGGCTTTAGCATCCGAAATTAGTAGACTATAGAGGTTGCTCAAGGGACAATCGATAACTGATACTTCTCTCTATCTTGTCATACAATCAGCCATATAGCACATACAGCTCCCTGACGGCCATTCTGCAGTGGCCTAATTAATTACTAAAGTTTAAAATGCCCAGAGATGTGTGTAGAACTCTGCAGCTTGGATCTTTGTTTCAAAGCATAAGATGATGCGCTGGTGAATAGCAGGGGTTGGGCCTAGTGCAGGCCATAGGTTGTCAACTGTGCTCTAATAATTTTTATTTTTAATTAGATATATTATATCTTCTCTGTGTAGCTCCCTGACAACAAGCTTGACAAAGTAACAGAGACCTACTCTACCTGCCCCTTGTACCTGCCCTTTG